ACACACACACACCTGTTAGGTCGCCATCACTCTTCTCCTCAAATTCAATATTCATCAGCCATTCTGTAGAGGCTGATCTACACGGAGCGTCTTCGAAAGAACCACGGAGGAAAGTTTCCACCTTTCGCTAGCCAAAAATTCGAAGTGACATCAATACGAGTGCACGGCTTATTTAACTGATCTTATGAGAAGAACCGATGAAATGTGATACGTATCTGAAATTATTTTGTACTGAAAAGTTCCTGCATTGCGACAGACAGGACCAGCCCTTCGAATTTGCCTTCACTTTGATGTAATGTTGAAGCATAAAAACAGTATTCTACAGAAAGGGAGTAGGCTCAGCGGTTTATTTTTAGACGTATTGTCCGCAAGACGTTTCGATCCAAGGCAAGGGATTTGAAAATTCTCATGATACCGGTGCTGACAAATTTAATTTATTCCCCCCATTTTATATCTGTTAATCATGATTACTTGTAACTTATTTACAAGACACATACAAATTAGAACGTAGCTCACTGTTGCAGTAATGAATTTCCACCCATGATTCGTTTAATGAATGCAGTAATTTTTATCTGCGTTATGCTTCGTTTCACTACTTTTGCATAAATCTCTCTACAAGACACGCGAATTTGGATATAAATCACTGCTTAAAATTGAAGCGCGATAACAAGTGGGGTTCGGTTAATTTATGAACAAGAGGAAGAAGCAGAGGAGGGAAGTACTCATAAAAGATGAGATTAGGAAGGAGCATAAGAAGAATAAGAAGAGAAAAAGAAGACGATATATGCAAAGCAAGGGAAACCAATACATAATGCTGGTTACGATCTTATTAAATGTCCCGCCGAGATACACAATTTCATTTTTGTGGTTTCCTAGAGCTGCGATTTTCGAGTGAAACGTTACACAGGTTTGTGCTTGTCGTCGAAACATCGATATTGGCGAAAGGGGATATCTGAATCATCTGAACTGGAGAACGGTATAAATGCACCCGAATGACATACCGATCGTCGCTGTCAAATGGTTAACATTCCTTGCTTCTTGTTCGGAAGTCAGTGGTTCAAATATTGGTCTGCGACCAGTATCCTGAAAGGTATTTTGTAGTATTCTGCAGTCCCCCACAGGCAGATTCCTGCTTTCATAGCATCCTACCAAGGCTCTCCAGTTCATTATTCAGTAATTAATCTACGCTATATAATCTCTTCAATATTGCTGTTAAATAAATTTATAATTAATAAAAGGAGGGATCCACCCCAAGACGCTGCTTACAGAATGGAGCTGAGTAGATTTTGAGTCAGATGGGTCATTTTTTTCCAGAAACGCAAATGTAGTGCTTTGACACTTCATATACTGGCATATTGGTTAAATGAATCCCCGCACATCTTATGTCTTACTGATCATCATCTGCGCAAGCAAGAAATTAGTAAACTATGTAGTAGTCCTTATTCCTTAGCAGCCAGTTATTGTAGAAGCAAATATAAGCACGGAGGAGTATGTATATACGTACACTCTTCACTATCATTTGTAAGCATTGATTTAGAAAAATATTGTAAAGAACAGGATCTTGAGGTATGTGCTATTAAGTTACGTCTAGCATCGGTTACATACTGTATAATATCAATATATAGATCCCCAGTTGGCAAACTTCCTTATTTCATAAGTACTTTAGACCTTGTACTAAATAAGCTTTACTCCATTTCTACTAATATAATCCTTTGTGGCGATGTTAACATAAATTACCTTTGTGAGAGTAATAATAGAACTCAGCTTGACTCTCTTTTGGCTTCATACAAT